TGTATGTGTTTATGTGTGTGTGTGTGTATGTGTTTATATGTGTGTGTGTATGTCTGTGTATGTGTGTGTGTGTATGTGTTTATATGTGTGTGTCTGTGTATGTGTTTATATGTGTGTGTGTGTGTGTGTGCGTGTTTGTTTGCATGTATTTTTTCAAATGAAGTTGTACGTAAGTTTTCATGTTAGGTGATATCCTTGAAAACATCTCACTACTTTATAAATAGCAACAAATAACTGACCTTTGACGACAACATCAACGTGAGCATCTTCATTTGACCCCTGAACTTTGACTTCAAAAAATGTGGGCGTGTTTATGAGGAGTGAGGGAGATGGCTGGACGCCATTACCAAACGCTGCCGCCGTTGGGGCGCTTGCCACCACGCACGTCCATGGACCGCCTTAGGAAGAAAAATTATTTCTTTTCATTTGTAAATAATTTTTTTCATTCATTCATTCATTCATTCATTCATTCATTCATTCATTCAGTAGCGTAACCAGACACTAGACAGCCAACCAACCAATCAAATCAATGAATCAGTCAGTGAACCAATGAATAAATCATTTAATCAATCAATCAATCAATCAATAATTCAATCAATCAATCACAGATCAACCAACCGCTGATTTTTACGTGATTAAACGTGAATCCAAATTTAAGAGTTCCCGGTTGTTTGGGGGTAAAGGTGACCCTATAGATTCCATGCTCTCTCTCATGGATCTGGTAGGGGGCCTCGCCTCCAGAAATTCCAATGTCAAGGTCACCTGGGCCCGCCTTTGAAATGTCAACTGCAATGATGACGAACGTGGTGATGGTGAGGACGATAACGACGATGATGACGCTAGTGAAGGTTGTGATTATGATACAGAAGAAATAACAACATCACTATCATCAACACCGACCGTCAAACTCGACACTCTTCGATACGTTTCCAACCGGTTTCCAGTTGATGATTTTGACCTTTGCGGGGTCAAATGACGTTACCTTGAAGGGTGACCCGCTGATCGCCATGTTGAAATACGAGGCGGTTATCACGTGAGAACCTAAGAGGACGACGTAGTAAAAAAAACGAAAGATTAACAAGTTCATGCTTTGAGTTTAAGGAAATATTTTTCTATGGGGGTGTTCTTTGCAATTGACTCGTCTTCGTCAACTACCTCTCCCCCATCGCCACTGCAATCAACACCATCCACACAACTAACCGATAATAATCGGTAGGAACTCGACGGCGACGGTTCCATCGTTGTTGTCGATGAGTCTCGCCGGTACTCGAACGCCAATCGGATCTTCGGTATTATTATAAACAAAAATTATAGCCATAATATCATAATTTACCAATTAAGGAAAATTATAACTATAATAATGTAATGGCCCTAACCCGTAACGTCAACCCTCATTTCATTCATGACCACCATCTTTGACGGAACTCTAATTATGAACTTGTTTAGCTGGCCGGCCGAGATCAGTTGACCGGATGTTAAACCGGAAATAGTACTTAGAGATGGGTTGATGACCTCAATTGTGTATGGAGACCCTGGAAATTGGAAGGATGAAAAAGATTTCTAACTAGGATTTTAAATTAAAACGTCATCATCGTCGCCAGCATCATCGTCTTTATCCTCATCTACATCCTCATCATCAACTTCAGCATCATCGTCATCGTCATAATCATCTCCTACTCACCATCAGCATCAACACGAGCAAACTGAACATTAACTCGGTAGAATCCAGCTTCTTCCGGCATCCATTCAACATGGAAGAGGGACTTCCGGCCCGGATCTTGCATTATTCTCGCCGGGACTATCCTGTTTGATCCAAGGTGGGTTATCGTAATTGCCATCGGTCCCTCTCCAATCCCGTCGGTATTAACTGTGGACGTGTGAGTGTGTTGGTGTCAATTTATCATTTGAGGCAGTTATATTTATATATTCCACGAACAAATAACATTAACTAATCCATAATTATCAATAATTTTATAATCATTAATAATTACCGGAAAAACCGTTGAGTTGGGATACGATTCCGCCTCTGAGACCGAGTACTCGGATGAGTTTCGGATCGAATACTTTCACATAAAATGGACTTCCTTCGATGTTCTCGCCATCAACACACATCGAGACTAAATAATCGCCTGTTAGCATGTACGAACGTTTGCATGTGTTCACCGTGATTTACGTTGCGCACAACAATTACAAAACACATCCCAACAAATATAAACACCAACAAACCTGTCATTTTCGGCAAGAAGGTACTGGTATACAAATCACCGACAACTTTGACGTACGGTTTTATCGTTTGACCGGTCGGATCTTCAACGAATACTTCGACTTTGCTGTGCTTTTGGTTGGCGTTTACCTTAAAAGTCGGTAATTCTACTACACTGAACTGCCCGTTTTCACCATGCGAGTGGTGACCATCCGCCCTTGGGATGTAGACGCACCCCCGATAGTCTCGATCGGTATTGATAGATCCCGACATACTCGATTAGCGTGTTGCTTACCGTCGTTTATTATATACAATTAATTATTATTGCTGTTCAATAATTAAAATTAATTATTCAAGTTAATTATTATTAGTAGTAGCAGTA